TCCATGACGGGCTCAGAAAATACTTCAAATTAGTGACTTGCTAAAACAACTGACGCTAATGCCATTTGTTTGTATGCTCTAACGGTGCAAACGTCATCCACTGCTAAAATATTTAAGAAAATAAGTTTGCAAGTTGCCATGAGACACTTCCGCGGGTGCTGCACCCTGCTCCCTGTAGAGACCCCCGGGGTGGGGGTACCATATTTGCTCCATCTGTAAACGCCCAAGTACAACCGTAGCAATTCCATATTCATTTTGTTCTCCCAGCTTATCTTCTCCCAGCTCTGGAGTGCATTCTTCCTTATCTTGGAGACAAATGGCCTCCACGGAGAGCTCTAAACAGCGAAGGTATTTATCTGTTTGACATGTGTTTTCTCTGTTTGTTTTCTCCAGCCTTGAGACAGTCGGCTCAGGCTTTGACAATATTCAGCTGTGGCAACGGCGGAGGGTTGTCTGGCCCCTTCACTCCAGTGCTGTGAATCAATTTCTTTGCCATATTTATCATTTACTGTAGTAAATCAAGTCCAATCGATGCTTTCTTCTTTTGATGTAGAGCAAACCCTTTACAAACTTTTCAGAAAGCTGGCTGGAATTAAAAAGAGCCAGTAGGAGGAAAAAAAAAAAAAAAAAGAAAATCAATTATTTAATTCAGCATTAATTTTTTCTTTGGGGAAAGAAATGAAAAGGTGGCAATGTTCTGTGGGTGGCAGTCCCTATCGGAAAAAAAGGAGGGAGCCGGGGGGAAGGTTTATCTACTGATTGTTTCCGGTATTTCCCTTGTTGCTTTTACCACCTTATTCTAAAAGCACTACACGAACAAGGGTCTCCCGAACACCAGCGCATCTCCATTCTTTCAGAGCCAGCTCCTGGACCCAAGGGACTCCCTCCCTCCGCGCACACACGCCGCGTTGCCCCCTCGGTCCCACCAAGCAGCGGAGCCAAGGCTCGAGAGCGATGGAGTCGCCTTCGTTCTCGTTCACCTGGGCTGTCACGCTCGGGCAGCTCAAGACAGCAGGGCTGGCACACGTGCCACCGCCAGCGCAAACACGGCCTCCAGATCCCTCTCCGGCTCTCCTTGGCAGGAGCAGCGCTCCAGGCAGCAGCGAGGGCGAGGAACAGACTCCCCCGGGGCCTCA